AAAAAACAAATAGTTCCTTCATATGCATACATTACACAACAGATTTTGTTTAGAGAAAATCTCACACAAACTTCTTTTGACACTAAATTCAATAATCTACTACAATCTAGTCTAATAAATACACACAACACACATATAGAGAATATATACATACCTATACATATATTTATACACATGTATTACACACATTAAAGTTTAAAATCTCTTACATATTTGATAACCTCCATTTTAATCATCAAAGTAAGATCAAAAATAAATAAAACAAATATCAAAAAACACTGCTTGTTAAACAACTACGGGGACCAGCGTAACGTTACGTAATACCACATTGAAATAGGTAGATGATGTACTAGAAATAGAATATAATTTGTAGGAATATTAAAAAAAAAAAAAAAAAAAAAAGGTGGGTGGCAAGTTGGCTCAGTGGTTAGCACTGCCGCCTCACAGGAAGACAGTTGCTGGTTCGAGTACCAGCTGGGCCAGTTGGCATTTCTATGTGGAGTTTGCATGTTCTCCCAGTGTTCATGTGCATTTCCTCCGAGTGTTCCGGTTTCCCCCACAAGTACAAAGACATGCGCTACAGGTGATCTGGGTAAACTAAATTGGCCAAAGTATATAAGGGAATGTGTGATTGTGAGTGTGTATGGGTGTTTGCCAGTACTGGGTTGCAGCTGGAAGGGCATCTGCTGTGTAAAACATAAACTGTAATAGTTGGTGGTTCATTTCGCTGATAAAGAACTAAGCCGAATGAAAATGAATGAGTAAATGAATTAGATATAATAATAAAACAACACAAATAAAAAATTCTTTAATTATATGATGATATTTTTTTTTAAGTAAACTGAATAAGAAAACAATCTAACTCAAAATAAGAACTGAAAACATACTTGCAAATGCTACTTACACTGCTCATAATAACTCACAACATGTATGAGTGAATATAAGGTGACACACACAGTTGTAAGTATTTCCCTGCTGGTGCAAAAAACACCAAAGCCCCTCTTGTTTCTATAATAGTCTCGGATTCTTTTCTTTGTCTTGCTTTTAATCTGGGAAATGCTCCAGCTGATCTTTTCCACATCAGTGTTGCTCAAGAATGCCATTTAGACCATTGCATTTTAAGCAAAGAACTGAAGGGACCTCGACAACACTTCCAAATGGAGGGGAAAAAATACAAATATGTCCCATTGCATGACTGTGTGCAATTACCGTCTCAGAGCATTAGTGCATTACTGAGCTCTTCATGCCACAATGAGAACACGCAGAGCTCTGTGCCAAGCTCATTCATCAATGCAAAATCACTCAAAGTCCACAATCAATTTCATATTGTGGTTTTAAGAGAAATTAATAATAAAAATGCTTCAAATAAGAACAAAAATAAAGTCATCCATCATGCAGTCATAGATTAAAGTAAAAAAAAAAACACTATTTATTTATTTAAATAGCTGAGACTGAATTTAAAGATGAGATGCTGTGAACCAGTGTTTCTCAACCACATTCCTGGAGGCCAACCAACACTGCATGTTTTGGATGTCTCATTTGTCTGTTACACCCATTACAGGTCTTTCTCTCTCTCTGCTAATGAGCTGATCTCAAAGGTGTGTTTGGTTAAGGAGACATGGAAAATGTGCACAGCTGGTGGTCTTCCAGGAACGTGGTTGAGAAACACTGCTTTAAACCACTTTAATAGTCACTTTGAGTGTTTTAAAAGCTATTGTTAAACAAGTATATTAACTTGGCACGGTTTTTAAAAACGTATCTGCAGAAATATTTGGTGTCTTTATGCCTTAGTAGAGTCAAAACTTACAAACAACAACTTTAACTACAGTCAGAAAATGAAGTCGCACACTTAATGTATACATGTTTGTGTAAATGTGTTTGTTAAAAGTGGTGAATAATATCCAAACCATTAAATATAGTGTTATAGATGTGGTGTTTAGGCGTTCATAAATTAAATAATAAACATATTCACCTTATTCTTTGCCGATGAGCTGGCGCAGACATTTGAATCTTTTTGGCTCGAGGCTTCCGGTCTTATTCACTTCCATTTAATTTTAGACATTAAAAAAATGCTTTTTTCGCTGTTTTATGTGGCAAACTGATATTTCCTGATATTATTCTACTTGGTCTGTATAGTCATGCAAACATTTGTTTGTAGAGCAAGTAGTTTGATCGTTTTCTGTCGTTTATTATTCCTAGTCATTTCTCCCATAGGCGACTGAATCGGAAGTTCTAAAACAATCGCACTTCCGCATTTCAGAATAAGGTCAAAAGGCCTAAATATGTTTTAAAACTGAGTAGACGGAGCCGTTTTTGTGAGCGGGAATGAAAATCCCGAAGTGGATGCCTAGCGGAGCAATTTTACAGAATTCTTAGTGGAGAGAGGAACGGGATTTCGCTCCACTCCAGGTTTTGATCTCATCGTCCTCAGCCCTCGCTGTCCCCCATTTCCCCACAAAAACGCGTGCAGTCATCCATAAAAACGGTCACTTTTTGCTGAACTGTGGCTTTAGTGTACGTTTTATCTGCGAATATCTTCAGAAAGATGCCTTTGCTTGAAAATATTTGGTAATTTAAAGCGCCACAGGAAGTAGAAAACAAAACCTACTTGGATTTGAATGGAGAAGTGGAGGGCTTATGAAAGAGCGGGAAAAATAAAGCCAGAAAGATTCAGGATACTCATCAAGAAACACTTTTTCATCCCCCTCTCTCTCTCGCAGATGTTTGCTGGAGATTGTGAAGGGAAAGTGCTGATTTCAGTCAGATGCCATCTAGTGGAGCTAAAGCTGATCTGAAAACAGCAGCAGAAAAACTTCTGTAATATGTGTTACTTATGTTATATACACAAGCTTTAATCAATGAATACAAGATCAGGCGAAAAATTAAGCTGATCGTTTAAATAAACACAGGTCACTGAATAATCGTGAAGTCAATGCTTCATTTGATCCTAATATTACAAAAAATCTAATAATAACAATAATGAAAAAATAAACACAATTAAAGTTTAAGACGGTATTAGTTATTGGGGATAGGTGAAAAGCTTTGGGAGCCCTTTTTTTCTTCGAAGTGTTTATTGTAATTGATTTCATTTTAATAATAATAAAATAATATGTACATTTGAGCGCATGTTCGGTCTCCCTTAATTTTGTGTCATTTCATAAAGTCATTTAATAATAATAATAAAACTTTTTATTTATAGGCACCTTTTAAAACACTCAAGGACAGATTACAATGTCACAAGGCCATCATAAAAATACAAAGAGTAAACAAAAAAGTAGACAGGATATTAGAACAGGAAAACATCAAAAGCAATCCTGAACAGATACGTTTTTACCTGAGATTTAAAATTGGAAAGAGTCCACCTGATGAATGTGCAACGGGAGGGAGTTCCATAACGTTGGTTTTATTTTGAATATATTTTTCTTGAAACTAAAAACCAAGTAAAACATGCATTGCATCTTAGCCTGTTTTCGTGATTAAATCTGTGAATCCTAAAGCAGATCAGGCATGAAGTTTAATAAACATTCTTTTGTAGACATGTTGAAAAATGAAATAACTAAATACTAACTATTTATGTTGTGTGTCAGATTTAGTCACTCCATCACTGTCAGTTTATTTTTTTTCTTGAATAAAAAAGAAGGTATTTTGAAGTACGTTGTCTGCATGCAGCAGTTGACTTCTATAGTAAAAAGAAGAAAAAATACTATGGAAGTGGCTATCGGTGCTTTACATTCTTCAAAATATTTTATTTTATGCACAACCGAAAAAAACAAACAAACAACTAGTTTTGGAACCACTGAGGGGGTGAGTATATGGTGATTGTCTTTGTGAACTCTTTCAATATACAGCAGGGAAATAAGTATTGAACAAGACATGTATTTTTCTGTAAATAATATTTCTAAAGGAGATGTTGGCATGAAACTTAACCAGATTTTGGTAAAAAACCAAACAATATAAACATAAAAAACTGCACCAAAACAAATAAAAAAAACAAAACAATGAAATGACTCAAGGAGAAAGTACTGAACTATTGAAATGTATTTATTACTTTATATAAAAGGCTTTTTTTGGGGGGGAATGGCAGCTTAAAGACCTGTCATATGGAGAATGAAGTCATATGCATTGCTCAGGTGTGAGTTTTTCCACAGACTTTAAAAGTATGTGAATATCTTGATGGTTCTGTGGGTCTCGTTTATCAAATCTGATCCTTAATCTGTTATTTCTATTGGATTCAAGTCAGGTGATTGGCTGGGCCATTCTACAGCTTGATTTTCTTTTTCTGAAGGCATTTGAGAAGTTTCCTTGTCTGTGTTTTTGAACATTGCCTTGTGAAATGTCCACCTTGGTCATCATCTTCATCATCCTGATAATGCAGACGTTGGACTGAAGCAGCTTATATTCATTTACAATGATCAAGGGCAGAGGGTTGCTGAATAACTACTGAGAGATTTCATCCGCTGTCTGGGCTTTCAATGCATTTCTTCACCTTTCTTTCTTCATGTGTTTCCCCGTCTCATTTTTTTGTACACATAACTTACTTTGTAAACTAATTAGTTGTGATTTCTTTGCATGTATAGATTTCTTTGATTATTACCAACATCTGGGGAAAATTTAGTCAACGGCACCTTTGGAAAAGTGTTTTCTAAAAAAAATAATGATGATGTGTTCAATACTTATTTTCCCCACTGTAAATTTTTATAAAAAATAAATAATATCAATCGTCAACAATAATAAAATCCAACAAAATCACTGTCGGATTACATAAAAAAACATACTTTTTATAATATGGAGCTATCAACGAGATCAAAAAGCATCCAGTGTAATAATCCTTTTCTTCAATCTTCCGCCGGCCACTGAACAAATAAGATTGTGAGCTCATTATTCTGGACACTTGACGAGAGCAGGTCCAGTTCATAACACTGAACAGCACGACAGGTGTGACTTTCACATCCAAACCCGCTTGATTCCTCACAGAAACAAACAGCACAAAGAGCCAGAGAGATTTTTACAATGTACAAGTTTATTTTAATTAACTCTCAGTGGTTGGTAGTCACAGCACAGCTTGCACGGATGAAGCCACACATCTATTTTACAAGATGATGGGAAATTTAAAATAGGAGGGGAAAAAACAAAACAAAAACAAAATATTAAAAACCTAAACCAAAGAGGAGACAGCTGACAGTCCAACTACAGCGACATTGTTTCCCACCTACAGTATATTTTAAGTAAAAGGCCACTGAAATGCATAAAACGAGTTTTTCCGATGCATGGACTTCATCTGACGCGATGGCAAACGTTCGCTAAGACTCCTGACAGTGCATGTAGACATTGGGTTAGCGATAACTAGCATCTTCTTTTTAGTGACAAACACCTCGGCTAATACTACAGCTTTAAAAAAAAAACAAAACAAAAGAAAATAAAAAGCAAAAAAATTGAACAGCACTCTTCCAAAAAAAAAAAAAAAAGATACTGAATAAAAATGTGTGAAATGTAGTGAAGCGTTTATATTATCATCTCACAATTACGGTGAACACTTTTAAAACTGAAGTAGAAGAAACGAAAAAAAAAAAAAAAGTTCCTCCTGAAGGAAGAGGGCGCCTCTATTGTTTACTTTTTTCGCGACTTATAAAAGAAGAAAGGAAGTAGTTAAAACACACTTTTGTCCTCTGAAGTTGGTATATTTCAATAGTAACAGACAGGGGGAACCATAAACGCATGCCATGTGCTGGTCTCAAACAATACATATACAGGTATATACAACAACTTCACTCAGTACCTGCTAAAACAACGTGAGGAGTACAAGATATAAACCAACGACTACACTACAAACTCAAAGAGAAACGAGAGAGAGAGAGAGGAAGAGGAGAAAAAAAAAACGGGGGTGAGGTGAAGAGCAAGTGAACGTTTACTAGTGACGGACTCTTTCTTAAAGCATTCGCGTACGAAAGAAATGCGTATATTGCACATAAGTGAAAGCGAGGTCCGTTGTCTCTTTCGGGACATGAAAAGAAGTGTGCGAAGCAAACGCCATGTCTTCTGCTGAAAGACAGAGCCTTGATGAAAAGGCAGGACATTTGGCGACTTTTTTTTGGAGGAGAGGAAGAGGAAATCGAGGGAAAGAGAGCTGCACATTGCATAACCACATCTATACAGGAAAAAAAAATAAACAAAAAGAAAAAAAGAAAAGTGTGGCACAAATAAAATCTGGTGTTCTGTGACAGCCAATTTTTTTTTCCGATGCGAGTGACATATGTACAACTAAGGCTTATTGGTTAAATAGTTTTTCGAGGCTTTTTCCCGCCCATGAAGTGTTGGATGCCGTTCGTTCGTTTAACGTTTTTTTTCCTTAGTTCCATAAACGCAGTGGTTCTGTGTGGTGAGAAGCAAGGGGAAAGCTGGGAAACGCAATGGGGGGAGACGGAGCCTTCTTTGTCGCCATTGTCTCGTGTTAATATCTAGATGTGCAATACCGTTACTGCCGGAGGGTCGGCTCTATTTGGAAAGCTTGCTTATTACTCGGATCAGCGCTCCGTTTTCATCCTTTAGTCTCTGGTTGTCGGCTTTCAAGTCTGGTAGCATCTAGAAGAGAGAGAACAGGAGAGGGGAAGGTTAAGTTGATGGAGAAAGAAGAGTGTTGTTGAGATTGTTTATTGATTGCAGAGTCCTTCCTTTATATGACCACAACTTCATATAAAATAAACCACAACAACAACAACAAACACGCTTTTTCAGTGATGTGGTGATAGCAGCTCTGAAACTAAACGAATGAAAAAAAACATTGGAAATGGATCCTAAAATCTTCTGTTGTGTGACCAAACTGATCAGAGATTTACAAAAATAAAAATCTTAATAGGTAGTAGCTCTTATATTTGCTTAAAAATTACATTCAAAGTATTTTTTTTTTAAGCAAACACACGCTTTGAATAAAATTATGAATAAAATAGTTTGAAATATCTAGTTCAATAATTGCAATCCATTTCCCAATGTCACTAAATAAAGAAAATGAAGGAAGAAAAAAATATACTGGTAATTTTATGCAAGAACATTACCATTTCCTACAGATCTGTCTTTCATTTTTACCTCAATGTATTTGAAAAGACTTAGAGAGGTCAGTTTCCAACTATAAAGTTGCAGGGGAAAAAAAAAACAAAAAACAAAAAAACAATAGCAATATAAAAGTCCAACCCTAGTAACAATTACTGTTTGCTGGTCTGACAAAAGTGTGTGTATGCCGCAAAACCAGCATCATTTTGTCCGAAAATGGACTACAGACTAACCCACACTGCACATTTGTGTAGGTGGTTTATGGAACACTATATAGGCAAAATGTAACTTATACTGAAAAAAAAAACACACTATATGGCCTAAACCAAGCCCTAACCCCAACCCTAATAGGAAACCTGTGGCAAATTTTGTTTGTAAAAAAACAAACAAACAAACAAACAAACAAACAAACAAACAAAAAACGTTGTATTACAAGGACATGGGTATGTCCTCATAAACCACCTCAACATTGAAATTCCTAGGTCATACCCAAGTCATTAAATTATTACTACATCATTTTACAATTTGTACTACTAAACAACAAAGTAGAAGACACACACACACACACACACACACACAAACAACCCAGCAGGCAAAGAACAGTTGAGTTTAAACTGGAGCCATGCACTTTGAGATGAGGACAGTCCTCAAACCAGTGCTGCTCTGGCTCTCTCCCGACACACAAAAACCCTTTGTGTGTCTGTATAAACCACAACACTCGATACTCGACCCCTTCAGTATTCAGGTTACAGTGTTGAAGAGCAGATCTCTAGCTGAGATTTCACCAACACCCTCCTCACTAACTGAACACCACATAGATGGACAGGTGCGCTTTCCACACCCCTGAAACTAATAAATACTAACTGAAGTAAGCTTTTTTTTTTTTTTTTTTTTTAAATACATGTGTTCAGTGAACTGCCTAATATATTTTACACTTGTCCCTAATAGTTATGATTGATAAAAATGTCTAATTACTCGTTTGACATAGATGCCTTTTAATTCCTTTACACAAGTACTTGTCTTAGAGGCAATCAATAGTTTTGCTGTCTTCAGTAGTTTGTTTTTCTCAATACAACTGTGAAACTGACTTTGGTTCATTGTTGAAACCATGTAGACAAATAAGAAGTTTAAAAAAAAAAGTAATGTATGCTAAAAAATAATAATAAAAATGTGCAAGAAGGCATTCATTACACACAATTAACAAAATCATGTATTGTGCTGGTATATATTATAGCATTATAAGCTCTGTACGCATAATTTAGCCTAATATATACCTAATATATACATATTAAAATGAAAGAATATTTTAGGGTTTTAGTCATTCTCATGTTTTTTTCTTTTAAAATGCCATTAAGTCACTTAAGTCTACTCAAAGGGATAGGTCACATCATTAACTCATGCTTCACTTGATCAAAACCTGTTTGAGTTTCTATCTCTTGTTGAACACAAAAGGAAAATAAACTGAAGAATGTTTTGTTTCCAACATTGCTCAGAATCTCTTGTTTTGTGTTTAACAGAGAAAAGAAAAATCATAAAAGAATGAGGAAAATGCACAATTACTTGTATTATTATTATTTGCACATTGTAGAATTTTATAGATGTGTTAAATAACTTGTTAACCGAAAAAGAAACAGTAACAGTATGAGTAAACAATGACAGAACGTTGATTTTTGGTTGAATTATTACAGGGAAGAAAAGCAAAATGTTGTGTGCCAATGAAACACTTTATCTGGTTTCCAAATAGGCAAAAACTACTCTGTGATAAACCTGCCACTGACAATTACATTTTTAACAATGTAACAGTACCTCCCAAGAGTCAAATTTACAGTCTGTGAGCACCACAGAAACATTAAAAAGTCTATAAAACCTAAGTGCTACAGAAACACAACAGAAAAAAGATCCAAAAAAGGAAGTGCATGGTGTTTGAGGCCTATGGGCCAAAATATTTGCATCCTCGTTGTGTATACAATCGCCTAGAAAATGCAAGAGAAGCTCCATATGTAATTTAGGCATTTGCCAGCGACAATCTGTGGATTAAAATGCATGAGTTTTCAGAAGCCATGCAATCCAGATTAGCCTCAGGCAAAGCATATATGGCAGTTCAGCACCAGAATCTGGGTCTGGGAGGGGAAAAAGCAGTGGTCTTCAAAATAATAATGAGTTTGATTTCACAAAATAGTCAAGCACCTCATGCAAGATGCCAGAGTCAAAAGAAACTGCACTTCACTGCAACACATTCGAGGGAAGGGGCCAATAAAAACAACAGTACAATTTATTACTAAAAACAGTTAAAAAAAACAATAATAATAACAGTGACGGATTAACTTAAAAATTATTCACTCAATTTATAATTGTGAATTTAATTACTAACAGTTAATGAAATCTCTATTCTTTTTAAATTTTCTAAAAACATATGAATATTTCCTTTTTCAAAATATTATTATTATTAGCACAATGTTTGTAGGTTGCAAACTGGCCTTACATTTATTATATATCTTTTTCCTTTTTAGTAAATGAATTTGTACTTTAACAAATTAAAGCAACAAGTTTTTTTTTAAATGTAATTTGTAAATTAAGTACAGCTTAGGTATTTGGATTCAATTACTACATTTTAAAATAAAAAAAAAACAAATACTCCATAACCATTTGTTAGCAATAAGTGTACTGTTTAGGGAGGGAAAAAGCATCAAAAGCCTCCCTTATAAGAGAAGCAGGGAGGTGGAGCACTTAGGGAGGCGGAGCATCAGCTCAGACACAGGCTGGCACCTGCCTTATATGGGCGTGGGCGGAGCTGAATGGAGCATGAGGAGGGGTGTAAGGGGAGGTGGGGGCGGAGCTACAGGTCTGCGGCGGGCAGGTGACTGCAGCCCTGAGACAGTTTGGAGAGCACGCGGGCCAGAGCTCTGTTCTCTGCCTGCAAGCGCTCATTATACTGACGCAGAGACTGCACCTGCTTTACCTGAGGAAGATTCTACAGAAACAGAGAGAAATACAGAGAAGAGGACAGACAGCAGACAAAAATAAACAGTCCTATGTTAACCAAAAAGTGTAAATGATTTTTTTTCAAAATAAAAAATAAATAAATTAAATTAATAAGAAACAGAAAAGGAAAACACACATACACACCTAAACACTTTGAGGCTGGTTTATACTCATTTATATGCAAGTCTGCAAGTTTGCTTGGCTGTGTGCGGTGCAAGTTTGCTTTGGGTGGGCACATTTTAGCTGCCCATGTGCACAATAACTATAAGCCATTACAACACATGATGTGAAGTCCTTCGGGCTTTTTTTATCACTTTGAGAAAAAACACTGCATATATTTGGCGCACAAGCTGCACAAAGCTTTTTAATTAAACTACTTTTATTTTGTAGTTTAATTTGTAGTAAATTTCTCACTAAAAAAACTCACTGACTGAACACCGCATGGATGGACAGGAGTGCTTTCTACACCCCCGAAACTAATAAATACTAATTAAAGTATGTTTTTTTTAAAAACACACGTTCAGTCAAATGCCTAGTATACTACACACTTGTACCTAATAGTTATGATTGATAAGAATGTCTTGTTACTCGTTTGAAACAAATGTATTTTAATTCCTATACACGAGTACTTGTCTTAATTGCAATCAATTGTTTTGCTGTCTTCAGTAGTTTGTTGTTCTCAATACGACTGTGAAACTGACTGTGGTTCAGTGTTGACACCTTGTGGACAAATAAGAAGAGTAAAGAGTAATATAAGCTAAAATAAAATAGCAATAAAAATGTGCAAGGCATTTAAATTTGCAGGCAGACAGTTAGCTTGAATAAATAAAAATTATATTACTTAGTTACCCGCAATTGTACTAAAATAAAAGTTTCCTCGAAAATTATATGCAACCCATTTATTTGATATACAATTAAATATATTCAATTAGCAATTCCTCTCACTGACTTCTTAACAACTGTTACTCCACATTGTCTCGTTATTGCAAATAATAGTACAACAATTGAGTATGAAAGCCTCAAAAACTTGCTGCGGAGCCAGGTGAAAGTATAAATCAGCCTTTATCGGTCTAATGCAGACTTTTTTTTTTTTAAATGTTAAGATTATTTCATGAAGAGCACTTGCTGTCAATCAATTGGCTTGTAAGATGTCTAATACAGCAACCTAGATAACAGGGTAAACCAGCTAAAAACCTGTCAGGAGGCATTTTATTTCACATTTTAATTTGATCCCTTTAAGGGAAAGGTTATTAGTGACCCTGGTGGCCGTTAAATCAACTGCAGCATCAGTTGTGCTTGAAAACAACATTGATCAATGGCCTGAAATTGGAAATAAACTTGTATCAATGCACTATGTTTAGAAGAATGTGTAAATACATGCTGCATATACCTCAGACTCATGGGAGCCCATGTAAAGAGCATTTATGATTTAATGGCAAAACGCACTGAATCCTTCAGATAAACGTCAGTCTCCAGACTTTTATAGAAAATCTGTCAATTTGGGAGGGTCTGACTTTCTAAGGGGCATTTCAAGCTGTTTATGTTGACACTAGAAATAAACAAATAATTAACAATTGAAAACAATTTACATAAGGCCCCTTTAATATTCATATTTTTTATTGAAAGTGTTCATAGTTATAGAAAACTTGAGGATGAGAATTGGTGAGGACAAATTTAAAAGTGTGATTTCTTGAGCTGAAAAATCATTAAAAAAACATATATGATTGTATATATAAAATCATTAACGTGATGATGATAAAAAGTAAGCTTTAATTACATTCAGCTAGTTAACTTCAAGACTTACAGAATTTATCATATATTAGTACCACATCTGTCTTAAAGAGACTTCAAATGTGGTGTTTGAGTATACGGGACCTTGCAATTTACCAGAACATTACCAGCTGTCAAACATTTTGTTTAATAATGAAGAAAATGTATCCTAAAATTGGAAATAAACACAAACTCCCATACTTAACTGGAGTGAATTCAGTGATAAATGCTAAAATAATAAGAAAAATGTTGCAAAAATAAAACAATAACAAAAAAAAGCAAAGTCTGAAAAAATCTAGTCCACACAAACTTCTGCTCCCACTTCATGCTTTTAACATTAACTGCAGTCACACCAGAATCACAATCAAATGAAGTTACAAACCAGACAAAACTATTTTTATAGCTTTTAGTCTATTAGTTACTTTAAGATCATCTATATTTGACTGTATTCATAACAAATACACATTTTAACAAACATTTTGACAGAAAACAGGCCAAAACAGATTTAAAAATCACATAAACATTTGAAAAAAAAATATGAATAAAAACAACAACAGATTTTCTATTTTAGTGGTTTTATAATGGTGACCCACACGCACAGCAAAGGGCAGAACATAATTACCTTCAGCTCCTCCTCCATCTCAGAGATCTTCCTTTCTAGAGCTCTTCTTTCCTGCAGACACACAAACATTAACAAGTTCAAGCAAATGACCATAAAACACACATACACAACTGTATGATCCACTAGCACTGCAAACAGAGAGAAACACACAGAATCGTGTGGAGGCATCAGGTGAATGAACGTCAAAACTAAAGGAAGTGATTAAGGTGAAAAGAACCACACACACTGCTTAGTGGAGCAGAAATACAGTCTGGTTTACTCATGCTCACACCTGCTCTGAGAACATTCTATTATTAATAAAAAAAATATTAGAATTTAATATTATACTATAATTAAATTACCCATGTATTAATATAATTATAGTCATATAAAACAGATTCTAGGAAAAGTTGTTAAAGTAATACAATTATTCAGTTTTAAAATAAGTAAAAACTATTGTGTAGGTTTCAGGAATAATTAATGTCAATTATTATTAGTAGTGGTAGTAGAAGTACAATAGAGGAGATGGTAATAATAGTGGTATGTAAAAGAAAAAAGGTGTATTTCTTTATTACACAATTAATGTTTTTAGTTTTACATTACATTAGTTTATATCCTTTCTCTTTTCAACCAGAAAATCATACCAGTTTGGATAGCTAGTACAATTTTGTAGTATGGCTGTAACAGTTCAACGGGAATTCATTAAATACAATACGAAGTAAATGTAATGCAATATGACAACATTTGTGTATTAGAAAAAAATGAGAACAAAGCTGAACTAAATGCTGAACAAAGATGATTCGCGACTAATAGCATCTGAAAAAAAAAGCTTGTTTTGACAATGTGTGTGTGTATTACATATATTATAGGTTATACACACACATACATAAAAACAAAACCATATATTTTGTTACACTATTATTTAAATTAATAATACTTTGTATCATACAGTTGAAGCCAGAATTATTAGCCCCCTTTAATTTATTTTTTTTTTTTAAATATTTCCCAAATTATGTTTGACAGAGCAAAGAAATTTTCACAGTATGTCTAATAATATTTGTTCTTCTAGAAAAAGTTGTATTTATTTTATTTTGGCTAGAATAAAAGAAGTTTTGAAATTTTTTAAAAACTATTTTTGGGATAAAACTATTAGCCCCTTTAAGCTAATTTTTTTTCCGATAGTCTACAGAACAAAGCATCGTTATAGAAGAACTTGCCTAATTACCCTAACCTGCCTAGTTCACCTTATTAACCTAGTTAAGCCTTTAAATGTCACTTTAAGCAGTAACGAAGTGTCTTGAAATATATCAAGTAAAATATTATTTACTGTAATCATTACAAGGATAAAATAAATCAGTTATTAGAAATAAGTTTTTAAAACTATTATGCTTAGAAATGTGCTGAAACAATCTTCCCTCCATTAAACAGAAATTGGTGGAAAAAATAAACAGGGGTGCTAATAATTCAGGGTGGTAATAATTCTGACTTCGACTGTATATATTTTATATCTAAACATAAATAAACATTTTCTGAAATATATGCATGTATCCGTGTATTTATATATACATAATAAAAATATACAGTACACACACATATTATGTCAAAACACTTTCAATTTGGATATGACTAATTTTTGTTCAGCACTTAAAAACTATTTTTTAATGGCTTTTGAGACAAAAACTAAATAGGAGTTCAAATAAATTTAAGTTTTAGCAACAAAAATACTATACAACTTGAACAATAATGTAAATATTAAACAAAATAAAAACCAGCAATTATTTTTCCACACAAAGATGATGTTTCACACACATGCAGATTCAACATCTGAAAGAGAAAACACACCATCACCTACATCCTACATGATAGACAGTGGCAGAGTGAAAGAAGGACTGTGATTGGCTGACGGGGTTTAGTTCAGACCCCTCAGGGCTGTGATAGGCATGTGATTCAGCCACTAGCAAAGCTGGAAACACTTTACGTTCAGGTTAAACATTACCCAAAGCACCCAGCTGAGCCTGAGATCTGCCTGCAACCTTCAGACATAAACCAGTGCGCAACTGTTACCAACCGTCTGTTCGACGAGGGCCAGAATGAAGCATTAATTCTAAACCACTTCTTAAACATCTCAGAAATCTCAGCATATGAGCTGGAATGGGCTGATTTGTAAGCATTTAATGGATTCAGTGCCCAATCACGGCATTAGTTTGATGTAAACCTGCTCTAGCATGGTCATGATGGGTTTATTTGAATAAAATATGAGGATTTGCATACAGTAAAACTGAAGTAAAAAATGACAAAAAGAATTAAAGTAACATTTGTTTTACCCTTTTCTCCATCTCCAGCTGTGATCGATCGGCAAAGCGCTCCTGTCTCTGTAAAAATGGGGAAAACAAAAAGCACAGTCGATGAGGCCTGTTCACAACAACACCAAAGGTTTTCATAAGCGATTGACTATTTCAAGGACATTATTAATAATGAAAAAATAATAGTAAGTAAAATAAATAGCTCAAGTAACTTATAGTAAATAACTTAATTATGTTTTACAGGAGACCTATAATTCCCCTTTTTACAAAATAAGTGAGTATGTGAAGTTCCATAGTTTGATTAAGGTGTTTACATGTCTGTAGTGCACTTCAATAATGCGACTAAAATAGGCATACTCCACACATCTTAATTTGATTTCTCTTTAGTTTGATTATGACCTTAATCTGATTAAATGAATCAAAAATCGTTTACATGGTTTACTCCTAATCAAGTATTGTCATAATCGCATTCAAATTGAATTATTGGTGTCCATGAAAACGTACTCACTGTTGAAGCACATTGTCTGTTAATCCCTCTGAAGCTTCTCAAGCAGATCAACAGGTAAATTAAACTAATAATAAATCAATTCTGAACTCACCTGTGTGGCCTTCTCCAGCTGTAGCTTTAGGTCTGACAGCTCCAATTCTGTATCGCGTAACTGAGCTTTCAGCTTCTCGTTTTCAGCTAAAATCTGCTCATAAAGCTGGAAATAAACAGAGCACTCTGGGTTAACCTTCAGCCCTAAAAAAAAAAAAACTCAACATTTGACAGCGCACACTCATACAGCGCAGTTTTCGCACCTTCTTATAATCAGTGGAATCGTCTTTTTCGAAACGAGAGTACGGACGTCGGCTCTCCCCAATGCCACGGCTACTCAAAGACTCATAACGGTCAGTGGATGAAGTGCTAGTAGAGAGAGGGTCATTGCTGAGGTGGGAAATAAAGATGCAAATAACTTCAATTCAAAGTTTCATATTTATAATACTAGCATATTAAAGGAGTAGTTCACCCAAAATTAATAATGTCACCATTAACCCACCCTCCTTCCAAATTCAGAATAAATTTGATCATTTTTGCAACATGAAGATCTTTTTATGAATCAAATTTAAGAGATTTATGGTTGTTTGTGAAGTGAATACACTTTACAAGATCAACAGATTTCATTTTGTCCTCTATTCCCATATAAACACTGATCAGTATACAATATTTATAACATTCTAATTTAGTCACAGGAGCTCCAGCATAATAGCTTGATAAAGCAGAACCAATGAAATTCCTTCTCAAGTGTGACAGCAGCATATTTGAGTTTCTGCAATAACCAATGAAAATTTGGCTTTCACAAGAATCAATCAAGTTTGAGCTTCGATACGAACCAATCAGGTTCATTAATGGGTGTTACATCAGCAAGACTGTGCTGCTACAAGAACCAGTGAGCTTTATACATTGGTACGTTTTTGCTTCTGGAAAAACCAACAAGAAATGAGCTTTTACAAAAACCAATTGAGTACATTCTTGTGCAAAACATTAGCATGTTTAAGCCCCTGCAATACCAGTGAGGGCTTGAGCTTCTAAAAGAACCAATGAGGTTCATTCTTGTGTGTCAAAGTTGTAATACTGAGCTTCTGGAATAAACAATGAAATCTGAGCTTCCGCAAGAACCAATCAGGCTTGAGCTTCTACGAGAGCCAATGAGGTACATTTTTGTGCATTACATCAGTACGGCTGAGCTCTTTCAAGAAGAACCGGTGAGATGTGAATTGCCACACCAACCAATTAGATTCATTCTCCAATATCACACAACACGTGTGTCTAAAGCTCCTACAAGAACCAATGAGCTTCTGGAAGAACCAATAAGACTTGAGCTTCCACAATAGTCAATGGCAATCATTCTTGAGCTCAAGCAAGAACCAACAAGGTTCATTCTAGTGTTTTACATGTGCACATTTGAGCTTCTGGAATAACCAATTACATTTCACACAAAATTTCCACGAAGATTGGTGAGGTTCATTCTTGCTTGTTGATCAAAAATGGTCAAGCTTCTGTCTACATTTCGTCACCTTAGAATTATAAGGTGACATTTTTGTCAAAATAGAGTTATTGGCATATTCTTATTAAATGACATCTTATTTACGTCATGGAATGTTTTTTATAAGTTGTTTACATTAAGACTTTTAAAAAAAAAAAAAAAAAACAAATGTCACACACATACTGTTTGCAATGAAATGCAAAAACTTTGAAGCTCAATATCTCAAAATCAATCAGAACACAGAAAGAACCTTATAATTCCAGGGTGATGACTTGTCTATCAATAAATTCCAAATGAAATCTGTTCATCATATATAATGATTGTGTCTTATCTGAAGACTTGGATTAAAATGTGAATCAAATTTATTTTTTTTTACCTTTATGAACGTTGAAGAAAAAGAAGATCAATAAAGGTGACAAAATCATGGCCCAATTTTATTTTTGAATGAACTAACCCCAAAAAAGGTTGCATTAGAGTGAGATACATACCTAGATAGTCTGTCGCTCTGTGAATATGAAGAGAGAGAGAGAGAGAGAGAGAGAAAAAAATGGAAGTTATTACAAAATTTGTACCTGCTGTTAATCAATCACATGCCCATAATGCATTTAGTGTGTCTGTTTGTCTACTGTCTAGACTATCAGTGTGTCTAGAATGCAGATTATCAATTAGTCTGGGATGGATTGTGACGCTCTCGTTCCTGGCTCTGATGGCCTGCTTAATGCTGCTATTTAATGAGAGTCTGAGCAGGTCAGCCATCTATCATTTACCGCTCTACAGTAAAGGACGCGTTTGAAGACATCTGGGTGTAATCCATTTGATTTTGTCCTAATAAGAGTCATGCTTCAAATGGTTGGACTTCAATGTGAGAGTCACATTTATCACAGTAAAAGGAAGTAAAAAGGACGTGGGTCACCGGCCCTCCTCTACACTCTAAACTCAGAGACCTCTCAGCCCTCAGGAGGCTTTTCTCCGTGAATTCCTGATTCACAGCCAAGAGTTCTGGGTCTGATCTTATTCCCCAGCTGCTCAGAGTACACACAGGGTACTGGAATGAGTTTGGATTGGCATTCCTACAGCTATTTTTGAAAGCGAGTAATATGGAGTGCGCATACTGTGATTAATATGCAGACTTGTCTGTTTGCATTAAAGTATTTTACTGTCCCCATTTTTTTTACTTCTGAACAACAAATTTCATATAAATTCCATTCAGATAACTTGAGTTCCAACACATTTGTTTTGATATGATATTTGTAGATTTTTTTTTAGTTCAACTCGGAAAATAAAAATGCCTTTGAATTGTAGGCCTGCCACAATAATCAATGCATCAACTAATTGCACAACACAAACATGACCTCAATTATTTTTGGTGATGCAATATATATCGCCCATACATAAAAGCAAATTCTAGCAACATTTTAGCTGATTGCGCAACATCTCTTTCTCTATTGGATGTGTGAGTATGGTTAAAAAACACTAGTATTTACTATAAATTACTTTAGTATATTTTCATATGGGTGTCTGACAACAGAAAATAGATTTGGTGGATCAGATATCAGCCTCTTTTTCTTTTTACCTTGCACTTTTTTGCTAACATTTATTATTATTAAGTTGTCTAGGATATGCATTTTCACATTCAGGTTCCAATGGCTAATTATTTAATTGTTAAAAGGACTATAATTAAATCAAATATTCTTAAGAATAAAACAATATTTGTTCTTTGGAGTGTAGAGTGGAGTGGAGAGTGTACTTGCATGGCAATGTTATTATAATGGGTAACACTTTACAATAATTGTTCATTAGGTAATGTTAGTTAATGTATTTACTAACATAAACAAACAATTAGTAATACATTATTACAGTGTTAATTCCTCTTTGTTAATGTTAGTTAAGGTAAATGTTCATGTTAACTCACTGTGCAATAACTAATGTTCACAAGCTCAACTTTGGATTAGTTAATGATGAACTACGGTTAATGCCTTGCAAGATTATTCATACTTAATGTTAGTAAATGCATTCCCTAACATTAACTAATGGACCGTTATTCTAAAGTGTTACCTTATACTGTCATTATATTATAAGTTTAAAAACATGGTCTTAAAATGACAATAATATTGTATATCTTAATATATTTTGATGCAATATATAGAACAACAAAAGATAGATATCATGACAGGCCTAATCAAATTGCAATTTGCAATGGTTTTCTTTACTGAAACTAGAATCCCTGATTTTCTTTGATTGGGAGAGCACTGATGTCATGCTGGGTCATTGGATATATAACACGTCGCACACAGAATAGTTATCACTATACTTTGAACAGCCACAGAAGACTCAATATAGCATTTAGCATCATTAATGCTATCCAGTAGAAATTCACCTCTATTTACCCATTTGCAGTGACTAGGCCTGTCACGATATCACATTTTTGTTGTCGGATATTGCACCATAATTTATTAAGATAAATGATATTATTGTCCCTTTAAAATCAATTTATGCTATTTATTATATAATGCAAGCATGAACATAATAGCATCATGATTTCAGTACATATTCAGATAATATTTTATTCTTAATTAGGCATTGGAATCAGAATGCCAAAATGCATGCTTCCTAAACAACTGAATAAAACCTATTAACAAAAAAGTGCAAGGTAGAAAGAACTAGGAAAAAAAAGTCACATGCTTAAAGTCAATTTAGACTTTCAAACCGAGGAACAGGACACAAAGCAGACCATATCCTCTACTAGATCTATTTTTAGTTGTTAGCCACCCACATAAAAATATACTATAGTATACTATACTATAGTAATTTATAGTAAAATACAATAGTTTTTTTTTTACCATACTGACACCTTCAATAGAGATTTGATGAGATGACAGAGACTGTGCAGTCAGCTTAAATGTTGCTGACATTAATTTAAGTATGGGCGATATACATTACATCACGAAAAATGATTAAAGTCATGTCCATGTGTTGTACAATAAATCAATATATTGATTATTTTGACAGGTCTATATGTAACCTACTTGTGCAAATACTTACGCATTTGGTGTAAATCCAGCATTAGACTAAGTATATCATTTTTAAAATGTCATGGCTAATACACTTTAAATATAAATACACTGATTTCATTTATATGTACAAGTTATCATGCTTTATTACTATTACAAAACATAATAAATTCCATTGAAACATGTTGATTTTTTTTAAATATTATGGCATAGTATTTCCTTAAAAACACAACCAAAATTGTCCGTCTTTTGTGTTTAATCCTGGCTAAAGATTGTAACTTTGATCTGAGAGCCTGTATGAAGTCTATGAGTATCTCCCAGGCAATGTCCCAAATGGATGTGCAACTCACTTCCTGTTCGCGATTGCCCTGGAAGCATAAAGCTGCACTTAGCTTTGTGTCAAAACTTCCTTTTCAATGGAGAGCAACCCACTAAGCGGAAATGTGTGCTATTAAGCCAACAAAAAAACAGCTGTCTCATAAAGAACCCAAAGACCCTGTTAGATTTTTCATTCATTCTGTGGCCCTCAAAACACCCCTCATCTAAAACCATTCAACCAAGAGATGATCTTTAGCTTTTACTTAGTCATATTTGAGCTATATTTCAACTCGGATGAGATGTTGTAACAGGCGCACTTGGAAAATTGCTGCAATCAGAGGATGATTTGAGGCGTCAGCTGGTTATTCTTCCACAAAAAGCAGTTTCCTGTTCTTCTACCAATGACCCAACGGTCAACAGCAAAGCTTTGTTCTCCTCTTAGTTTCCTCACGTTTTAATCACTTATTCCCAGTTGTCCGCCCAACTGTGTGTGATATGCTTCCAGGATCATGTTTGCACAGGATGTGGCGGATATTTATCTTATCCTAACTGTGACTCACAATATCACAACACTAACAGCTCAAATATACACCGACTCATGTGACTAGACACGTCGTCCTCTTATTACTGGAAGAGTGACTTCTACAGCCAGGAACTGATCACCGAGTGTGTTTACATGCACATTCCTAACCTGATTAAGCTTAATAAGCAGACAATGCATATAGTCATGTAAGCACAATTACATGAAGGAAGATCATAAACGGCATAAGTTGATCATCACAGCTAGACTTTTGCTCCTTACGCCAATTTCACTCTCAGCATACCAATTCACTAGCTTGCTTTTTGTTGGTTTACAGAAGTGCACATATGTGAACTGTGATAGCAATACATCCTTATAATGCTGATTATATACAGGGCAACTTTAAAAGCAATGTTGCTGGGCAACTTTGGGAAATGATGCTATCAATGAGCAACACAGAGTTAAATAACAGTTACTATTGCTTATTCTCGATAGGAAAGCAGCCAAACAGTCTATATTGCCCGACAACGTTGCTCAAAATGTCGCCCTTTGTATCATCAGCATTATTGTGAATATAAGGCCAACTCGACAGAGCAAATATTTTGCAAGAAAGGTGGAAATACACCACACCTCAGTTTTCTTAATGCAAACAGTTTTAGAAAATGTGTTCTAATCAACATGCAGCAGAAGTAAAAGTGCTACAGTCAAAATTCAGCATCTTGAAATAAAATTATGAATAATTCAGATGCAGAAACCTGTAAATGTCGACTGAAATTCTTCAATAATGAGTATTTCTACCAGGCTCCTGTGTGTAGGTTTAATAATTTTAATTTAATGGCAAAGAAAACATTCTTTACATGGTCTTAAAAATAAAATAAATCAACTAAAATATAAGAGTCTGAAAAAAATGCTCATTATCAATGGAACTTTCAGCTCTTGCTTTGTTTTTAATAATTTACTGAACATGACAACTGACATAAATAAAACACAATCTTAGATGTGCAAATTATGACGAGATAAAATTGTTTATTGATATCATCCTGCAAACATGTCTTCCTTGCTTTACCCGGTAATGAGTTTGCTGGTAAAACACCAGATTGCTTGAATAAGCTGGATTTTGTGGGTTATCAGCACATTAGTGTGCATGTAAACACACTCGCTAAAACATTCCTGTAAAAGGTGACAGTCGCAGGCTGTGAATCAGGTCCCCTTTCATTTTTAAGATGACTAATGCTGCTGGGACAATTCCAGGAAGCTGGAGAGGGAGGAGGAGGTCAGCAGACAAACGGTAACATGAACTAATTGTTCATCCTGCCAGACATGAAGGAAAGTCAACCTGTTCTGACTATACAAGGTGAAACCCGTAAAAAAAAATAAAAATAAATAAATAAATAAATAAATAAAAAAAGAGAGTCAAACTTAGTATGTATTTAGCAAAAAATAAAGAAAAAAAGGCAATTATGTATTAGTCTGCTAGATTTGGGATGGCAGATGTATTGTGGGTAAGCTGATATTCACCTGAGGCTCTCCTTTAGTGCTGCCTTCTGAATCTGAGGGATGATCTGGCTCATTTTCGTCGCTCTGTAAAACACATGAAAACAATTCAAGTTCTGATAAAACTTTGAAACAATGTTCTAATCAAGCAGCGATCATCATCTCAAAATAAAACAGTTTTTTAAACAGGAAAAAAAGTTAAGACATGATATTTTGGACAGTTCTATCAGTATTTGCTATTGGCTGATCTCACATAATTACTCAACATAAAAATGGTCCATTTAGACTTTATTGTGACTACAAGTAGTTTAAAGGAAATTAATTAATTCTAAACTATTTATAAATCTTAGTTGATGTAAAGAATGTGCACTATCACAGTTTTTTTGGCAAGCTAACATGATAAAGCCTGTCACTCAATATTCACAACAAACAAATTTTTAAAATCCAAAAACATTTACAACATGATGAAGTCAGCCAGACTTAATTTAATTGAAGTTGTAAAAAGAAAGTAACATCACAACAGAGGATTATGCAAATGTGTGCATATTCAATTTAATAAGACCTATTTATGCATATTTATACATAAGATAAAAAAAACCTGTTACAAAAAAGGCCTTTGTGAGTCAAAGTATGGTAAGTTTTTCCCCAATTCCCTGCAGTGTCTTGCCTTTACATTTTAAAACCAGTCACTATTCACTAAATTTACATAAATGCATTGGCGTAAACAACTTTCTTTCCCATTAACTAATCAGAATTAATCTAAAATACTTATAAACATAATAGTTTTAAATGCTGAACATAAATCTGCTAGGATGTTTTAAGCATAGGAAAGACCGTGTGTGTGTGCGTTCATGCAAAGGAGGTTTCTCTTACATCCTGGGTCCAGAAGGACACTCCAGTGGATCGTCTTTTCTCTCGAGGTCGTCTGCGGTCGCGTATAGAGCGTGGCTGAGACTTGTCATCACCGTCTCTATCCTCATCTTTCTCTTTTCGATCAGATTCTGGGCAGGAAACAGACACGTGATATTTTTATGAGTACACCAAAACACTAACAATACACTTAAAGCACAAGTGGAAATCCCCATTTTATTTAAGACTGTGACAGAAATCCTGGGCAAGCTGAAGGAAGAAAAATAAATGTCAAAAAATGAATTGAAAGCCTAATGCCAGTATTCTTTGTATACTGTTATGGTTTGTGGGTTTCAGTGTAACTAATATAAACTGGCTGCATATCAAACCAAATACACTATTGTGCAATTTCTGTATTTATTTTTAAGAAATGTATATTTCTTTCAGCAAGAATTTACTGGATTGATTAAAAGTGACAACGATTTCAATTTCAACCATCAAATAAAACGGTTTTCAACACTAAAATCAGCAAATAATTTTTTTTATTTCAATACAATACAAAGGCTTGTGTGCTTTTTAAGTCCTGGGCGAAAAATTTTTTTTAAAAAAATTATAATTAAAAGTATGATGGTTTAAAAAAGGTAACTAAAATATGTATCAAAACAAAATATCAAAACCATCTTCACTATATACATGCACGCACGCACACACACACAGGAAAAAAAATATTCACTTGTCATTTTTGAGATTTGCTTAAAAAAATATAAGTCTAATGGAACAAAAGCATTTTTTAAATTTAGATTGCAATTATAATAAATATTTGTAAAAGCTAGTACTCAAAAATGAGTTATTTCTTCTGCATTGAGCAATAAATCTCCACATCAGCAGAGGAGTTTGATTTCAGTTTTATTCTTATATTCTAATGGGTTTTGTAGAGGAATATTTTCTTAAATAATCAACCAAACAAAACACAAATTGTTACTCTACTTCCAGTGTTTTCTGAATTATGGAGTGATAAACAGATACCCAAAATGCTCACTTTTTTCACTCTAATATGCCAAAAACAAGAATTTTGACTTTGCATAGAAATTATTGCCAAAGAGACATCAAAATGCACATACATTTTAGAAAATACTTATGCGCAAAACTGAGTAGAACTTTTTATCTTAGAAGAAAAAATGTGGAAAAGAAACACATTTACAAAATAAATTCCAGCATGTACATAAAGTCATGTGATTTTTTCATTTGTAAATTGCTTTGGATAAAAGGGTCTGATTAATAAATACATGTAAAGGAGATGATTATTTCTACCCTATTCAGCTGCATTGACTTGCCATAAATGTTCAACTTAACTGGCCAGTTCATATTTGTTAATATTTGTTGATATTTGTGTACCTCTGTCGGTGTCGCGTGTAGATCGGCTGTATGTTGAAGTGAGCCCCGTCAGGCTGTTGGGTCGGTTCAGAGACGAGGTGCTGTACAGAGAAGACGAGCTACTGGATGAGGATGAAGGGATGGTGGAGGACGCTGTGGTGCTGGAGGCCAACGAGGTGCGATACTTCTGAAGGACAAAAAGCAAAATGAGAAACTTGGATTATTTTACTTGTTAAACTGTAAAAAAAAAATGATTTTTAAAAAAAAAACTATGTACAATGAAGTGTCCTTATTCTCCCCACAGTTCATCCATCATTAATTAAAAGGCAACTTAATAAAAAAAAATTTTTAGCAAACCTTAAATAATGACTATAATTAAAAAAAAAAAAAAACATTTTCAGAGCAATATTGCTAACACATTCTGAATATTATTTTACTGTATAGGAAATACATAGAGAAAATTAATCCAAAGGAACAAAATACGGTTGAAATATGGTTGTGATACTTAAGTTAAGTTGAAATACCAAGAGTAGCGTTATTGATGTATATGGATTCAAATGCAGATCTGGATGTCTCTGCATTTTATATGATTAGTTTCAGTTCTTTTGAATGGAAACTTAAAAAGAGTAAGCAATAATTTGAAACAAAGTAGCCGCTAGTAGTAACACAGAAGTGTAACTGGGAGTTTCTCTAACCTCTTCAAAGCTACGATAGCGCGACCTGTAGTCATCCTCCTTGGTCTCGGTCTCTTTCTTCTCCTCCTGTTTCTCCTTGTCCTGTTTCTCCTTCTCTTCTTTTTCATCTTCTCGAGGCCGTGTGGGGCGACTGCGACCGATGGTCTTCTCGGCCTCCTGGAGGTCTGTCAATGTCACACCCTAAAAAAATGACAAGTTTAAAGGGTTAGTGTTATGTTGTTCATTTCTGCTAAAATAAGACAAGATATGTAGACCCATGATCAGTGTAATTGTAAAAAAAAAAAAAAAAAAAGTGTAATGTTCTAACATTTTGCTAATACTACATGAAACAAATACACAATTTTATTAAAGATTTGGACAGTGTATGGTAAAAAAAGGTTTTAAATACATATCACACATATTTTAAAATTGTAATAACATTAGAATATACTAATATTTTAAATTAAACTTTTTTTATTAAAAAAAATTCATATTTATTGCTTTTAATTCAATTTTATTAAAAATGCAACATTTTTTATTATTATTATTACAATTATACACAAAAGCACAAAGAGATTAGCATTTCAGCTCTACAAATGCATCAAACTTAGCTTTTCAAATAATGTTTAGACAAATAAAATTTGGGTTTTAATATTAATTAAATAAAATTGCATAATAAAAAGCTGATTTTGCACTGATGTTGTAAATTTCAATCTGTATTATTAATGATAATCATAATAATAATAATATGAATATAATTAGACTTATTGAATTAAAACTAAAAGTACAATAAAGATGGAAGATGATTCACATTTTAAACATTTAACTACCTACATTATCTAAAAATAGGTCTTACCACATGATAACGTAACACACAAGTAAATCATGTATAATGTAATGTTTATAGTGGTTTTTTAGAGCTGGTAATTATTACATTTAGTTAGTGATTTTTCTTTAAAGCTTCTGGTCAATCTCTCCTCTATTATAAACACTAATTTGTCCAATAGTTTCCCACCACATTTCAAAACCCTGGTTTATAATAAACTAAAAAGCTGAAGCTAAACCCAATAAAATCTTCCAATGGTTTGTAAACTGTTCTGCACTTGTGTCTATTATTAGATGAGTGTCTAGACTTGCCTGTGTAGATCTCCTGGACTGTCGTGCCTGTCTGGATCTGGCTTTCCTCTGAGACTCAGATTCTTCATCTCGTACTGGAGTGAGGTACGATCTACACACACAAACACACACACACACAGCCCTGCAGGTTAAACACAGCTGAAGCAACACATGCTTATGTTCAAGCAGTTTTCATAAAAAAAGGCTTTGGAAGAATGTGTAGGAAAGTTTCCACTTTATTAGAAACTACAAAACAATGTGTTGTTTAATGATCAGCAAATCTTGGTACAAATCATAAAAGTACTTTGCAAGCTTTCTGTTGACTATCGTAATTTTCCTAAAATGATGTTCAGATTGCACACTTATTGCCTAGGTTGTGTTATGGAATGTCGTGTTGTTTATTGTCATTTTAATTAAGAACCAAATAAATAAGTACAACAAATATTCACTTTGTAACAGAAATGTAAAAAATATGTTAAAAACTATTTGAGAAAAAAGCATTTAAATATATATTGTGATTATAAATTAACAGACATAAATTGAATAAATGAATGAAACATCTAAACATGTATTTTGGATGTTTTCTTTCTAGTAGTTTTAAAAACACTAAATGATGAACAAATAATCAAAACAAAAAGCAAACCAAAACAAAGCACTACTAAACAACCAAAAGAAAAAAAATATATAATAAAAATAAAAAAGTAAATATAAAATATATATAAAAACAAAGAATAGACAAAACAAACTAACAAATACCAATAAAAGCTAACTAAAAATAAAATTAAAATAAACAAAGCACTAATAAACAACCAAAAACAAAAATGAAACAAAAAAACAAATAATAAAGTACACAAAATATGTACCAAAAAACTCCAGACAACAAACAAAACAAAAAAACTATACCAAAAAACTAAATAAAAATAATAAAGCATGAATTAAAATAAAAAAAAACAAAGCACTAATAAACAACCAAAAACAAAAAGGAATCAAACAGACAGACAAATAAACAAATAAAAAATAAAAAATAACATGTATAGCAAAAAACACCACTAAATACACAAAATAAATCCCAAAGAAACTAACTAAAAATAACAAAACATAAATTAAAGTTAAAGCAACCAAACAAACCAAAAAAATGTAAAATAAATATAAAATATTTACCAAATAAAGCACCACAAAAAGCTAGTCAAAAACCCCCCCAAAACAAATTAAAATTAAAACAAACAAACAAACAAAGACAAAACACACAACATACACCTAAAAATATATATAAAAACAAACAAACAAACAAACAATAAATATTAGGTCAAATAAAGTGATTTCTAGTTAATCAGAGCATCCCTAAAGGCTGGTTTAAACATCTGCACTAATCGATTGCATTTATACTTCTGCGGGCAGGCTGTGTTGTTCTGCAATAACACCTCTGAAATGCTAGCTGGAGTGGGAACCAGCGGACGAGCAACAACATTTATTATAAGGTAAACACAAAACAAAAGTTTCCATCTGAAGCTCCTTCACAGGACTCGACACTTGTAAACACTCACTTCTCCAAGCTCGCAGCACTCTGCACCACCCACAATTGTCACCGCTACCAAGCAGATCAATCATAGAGCTTGCGGTATGCATTGCTGTGACGTGTAGTTACATTTTATGAGAGGTTCACGTGAGCATAAGCGTTAGCCTTGGCAAGGGCTATGCGACTGCACAAAATCTGCCGCAGAGCATACATGTGCGATTGATGCAAAAGTCTAAATCAGCCTTAACTGAAAGCATCAGAATCATCCGTGATAATGTGTGGTGTACCTGCGTCTCTCTCGCCCGTCAGAGCCCAGGACAGTTCCAGTGGTGGATGTGGTAGTGGTGGTGCCTGCAGTGTTGATTGTAGGGATAACGGTTGCCGACTCTTTCTCCTTCTCTTTCTCCTTCTCTGCGCTCTCCTCTGCCCAATACCTGTTACACATCCACACATTTCATTACCACACCAGACTCTGAGTGTTTACTGTCAATGTTGTGTTATAGAGAAGTGTGTTTGTACCGGGACAGCAGGCTGCGGTGTCCTGTAGGTGAGGTAACAGAGGAGGTGGTGGTGGTCGTTGTTGTGGACGAGGAAGTAGAACTCAAAGGATCTTCATGTCTTCTTCCAAATGAGCCGCTTTGGAGAAACCCAGATAATAATGATGGGAATAAGTACGGTTCAAAGTCAGAGAGAGAGAGAGTGTGTGTGAGAGAGAGAGAGTAAGAGACACACAAGAGAACCACAAGAGAGTTCCCACGCTCTTAACTAATACATAAAAAAACACAAAAACAAAATCCACAAACACCAAGCAAAGAAACATAACACAACACAAAGAAAATAAAATAAAACAAGAACAAGGTTCTAATAGTTTTATATTTTTCATTAGTTTTAGTTTTTATTTAATTTTGACTATTTAGTTTCAAGTTTTAATTAGTTTTTAGAAGTATTTTTACTAGTTTTTATTAGTTTCTATGTTTTGAAATTGCTTAGTTTTAGTTGAGTTTTTATTAGTTTCACTATTCATTTTATTTGTTGTTGCTTTTTCTAAAAAAGGATATTTGTTAGGTGCAAGATTCAAAATCATCAAAATAAGTACTGTATTATAAAAACTCAACAAAGGATACATTTTTGAAACAGAGGACACATGAACACTACCATCTACCCATGCTGAAATTCAAATTCAACAGCCTATGAAATAGCAGCCCTAAGCACAATATGTGTGCAAGGCTGCCTCTGAGGTTAGATGCACACAGTAGTGTTGGGAAGTTCGAATCTTTAACGTGAATCAGATCTTTTGCGACAATCCTCCCATGTTAGGGCTCAACATATCAAAAATACATAGTCAGTAATCATAATTTAAGTCAGTTAAAACATCATCATGTTCTGAAAAGTTTCTTACAATTAAGTTTTGCAACCCAACTAAAGCATGATTCACTTATTTAGATTCCATTACGATTGTCTGTTATGAAATAAACTTACGTTTTGCTGGATCAGAGAGGGGTCTGGATGTAGACCTGGTGCAGTGCAATCTGAGCTGCATCCAATGGATTTTAATGTGCTCACCTAACCCCACACACCTATCCCTACCCCTCACAGTGACCTTAACAGCTCCATTGAGTGCATTGTGTCTTACATGGCATCTCTAAGATATGCAATCTCAGCTTGCATCCAGATACTATTGCCAAACTCTCTTATTGACCTTGGTAAACCCGCGCTACAGTTGTTCAAGTTTACTTCAGTCACAGCAGGCAGTCGTTTACTGTTTGTGTTCAGTTCACCTGCTGAATTATGCATGTGCAGTATTATCAATTCACTGGTTCTCAAATCTGATTTCTGTGTACTGTTCAAATAACTGAATAATCCAGAGAAACTGGTTTATTTTGAGTCAGAGTGGGGTATCCGGGATGTTAAAAAGTAAGCAGTTAGTAAATAAGTGCTTACTGGAAAGGCAAATTGTTTTAAATGATTCAGTTCAATTTAGTGAAATAGTTTCACCGGTTCTCTTAGAGCAGGGATGTCCAAACTCGGTCCTGGATGGCAGGTGTCCTGCAGATTTTAGCTCCAATTTGCATCAACACACCTGCAAGGTTGTTTCTAGAAAGCTTAGAAAGAGCTTGATTAGCTAGCCCAGGTGTGTCTGAATGGGGTTGGAACTAAACTTAGCAGGACACCGGCCCTTCAGGACTGAGTTTGGACACCCCTGACTTAGAAGATCTGATTAGAAAGAATGATTTGTTTGTTATTAGGCAGAAATAAAACCCTTTATTGGGCACAAATGTGTTAAAATTAATACTTTTAAGTCTCTCCCATGGTCATATTTAATGCTTTCACTGTGCTGCTGTCATGTCCACTTGTTGTTTTTGTCACGGGAGGACTGGAGGAGAACAGGCAGGTCTGGCCAATGACATAAAGATTACAGAATCTGGGGTGTCGCACAGGTCAACACCAAGCAGCGAGAAGCAAATAAATTTATTTCTAAAAGGCTTACATAAGGCTTATGTATTAAATGTATTTACAAAGATGAAAACGAAAGACATTTTGCTATAATCTTAGTTAGCTTCAGTTGGTTTTGTATATACACAATACAGTTTCAGTTAGATCTAGTTTTTTTTGTTTTAAACTCATTTTTATTTTTATTTCAGTTAACAAAAATGTTTTTAAATTTTAGTTTTTGTTTTTTCGCTCATTTTCGTTAACTGTAATAACCTTAAACAAAAACAAAGCAAAAATAGAGCCAAACTAACAAAAACAAAACCAAACACAATCAAAAAAACAAATGAAACATAGCAAAATAAAGAAATATATCCAAACCTAACAAAAAACTAAATGAAGAAACAACAACAAAGCATCAACAACAAAAAACAAACCAACTCAAACTAAGGGAAACAAACTGCACAATAAATAGATAACAATAACAAAAAAGTAAACTAAAATCAAATGTAAAAAAGAAGAACAAAAAAAAAGAAAATATATATGTATATAAAGAAGAAACAGCAACATCTATAAAACATAAAATTGAATAAAAAAAATTATATTCTTTTGGCAAAGTCCGCCAGTGCCAGCACAATAAATAACACAAATACAACAACAACAAAAACACTATAAACTGAAATCAAACTCAACTCCCCCAAAAGAGAGAGAGAGAAAGAAACATCTATAAAACACAGCTAAATGAACATTAAATAATAGAGCTGGGCAATATATCTATTATTTTTATTTCTTTTTATTATTATTATTTAACTGAAGGAATATTTTGACGCAATTAAATAAATGCAGTCAGGTCAAAACTTGTATGTATATAATACACTGTGATTTTTATAGAACATTTTAATAAAATATCGGCTATAGAATTATTGGCCAGTACTATTACAATGTCCAGTGTAAAACTACACAGCCTACAGACAGTAACAATGGCAGCTGTGAGGGAACACAGAGACAGATGAAGGAGGTGGCGTGTGCTCGGGCTGGTACCTGCGGTGAATGCTGTAAGACTGGTAGTAGGAGGAAGGCTGCCAGGCTTTAGAGTTGTTAGGCTCCAGGCTGGAGGCGGAGGAGGATTTGGCGGGCAGGTCGCGAGAGCTAGACGTGCGGCCTAACGCTAGCGTGTGTGACGTACTGCCGTGTGGATGTGGCAGGGTGAAAGAGGTGAGTTAGCAGGGAGCCAACAAACAAACACACATTAAAACTTGAACACACAGAGACAAACGTTACATGGTGTCTGAAGCACTGACTGGCTTGTGTGGGGCTAGGTTTCTTATAGAGGCATAGATTGGGATATGAATAGTCAAATAGCATCAAATAACATCATATATGGAGATGAAAGTGAAAAGCTGGTTGTAATCTAGAAAGCATTAGCAGGTTTATGTAATAAAGGTCTAGCACTTCAGCATGCTTCTTTTGTTATTAGAGTCTGAAACCAAACCAGGCGGCAAAAGTGCATTCATGCACATTCAGAGTTTCATAATGGAACAAAAGCTCATGGCTCATTCTGATGGTAATGAGTGCTTTTTCATCTTTTAATAGAGTTTTTAAACTAGTCATTTGGGAGAATTGTGATTGTTTTTATGTATGATTTTTACAATCATCAAATTTAGCATGCAAACTCAAATTATTGATGTTTTCCGTTAATGCATTAAATAAGATAACATCTTTATTTATTTTGTAATTTATATATATTTAAAACAGGTAAAAGGCTTTCTCAAAATTCCCAATAGAACAAAACATTCCTCACTGGGGTAGAAGTATTACATTGCATTAAAATATAAATTGAAAATATATATTAAATATACATTTAATGCAATATTTATTTATTTTTTAATTACAGTACTGTATAATTTCGCTTTATATTATAGCACAATTAAATAAAAAAAAATGAGGTCAGTAAGATGTCTTAATAAGGTTAATAAATAGATTTATTCTAAAATAGTATTTTTTTTTTCAATGTATATTACAATTTTATTTCTGTGTAGCTGAATGTTTAGAAGCCATTACACCAGTTTACAGAATCACATTGCAGTGATTGAGCGGATTTCAACTAATAATAATGTCGTAAGCAGTTAATACATTTGTCAAAACAGTGATGCATTATTTTTTTGTGGATTGTTTTTTTATATATATATATACACACACACAATCCGTAATGGTCCTCTTATTACTTAAATACTTTTAAAATATCACTTGTTTTTTTTCGCCCTTTTACTGGTATACAAGTCACACTTTACAAAACGTTTCATTAGTTAATGTATTTACTAACATGAACTACGTATAAACAATACTTGTGCAGCATTTACTAATCATTCTTCAACATTTACTAATGCATTATTAATATTCAAATTCATGCATGTTAACATTAGTTAATGCCCCATGAGTTAACAAATTAATAATGACCAACTGGATGTTCATCAACTAATGTTAACTCACATGAACAAATACTGTAATAAATGTATTGTTTATTATTTATGCAAGTAAATGCAAACTAATACAACCTTTTTTAAAGTGTTACCAGCATATATTAAAAATATATTTTGACCAAATACGTTAAATAGTGAATGATTTGGCATTTTAAAAAGTTTGAAACCTTGATTTTAGACAGTTACATGCATGTTAGAAAAATGATTATCATGCTCAAAAAACTGTATGAAGACAGGGAGTAGAGACAAATTCTACAGGTCTACTTGAGTTAGCTTTAAATTAGTTAAACATCAACCCTTACAATATTTATGAGACTGTTATGATGCTTTAGAATCACAATCAAACACAAATGCAAGCTGAGAGCAGGTGCTAAAAGTTTGTCAGTAAAAGGTGCTAGAAGCATCTGAGAAAGCAGCAGCAGTAGCAGAAGCATTGACTGACACACCAATAAAACCAACACCGAGTAAAACGCTAACCTGCGCTGATAGCTGGAGGTTCTGTTTGTTGAGGCCGTTCCATCGCTGTTCTTCAGGTCTTCTTCCCAGCGTCTCCTTGTGTACGAGCCGCTACGTACCAGACTAGCAGCCGAATCCCTGAGAAGCACATGCTACATAAAGTACCTCCAATACAGTAATGGTCTAACATATTAGTACACTTGTTAGTTTTTTTAAACAGCCTTCTTAAAGGAACACTAATATTACAACTTCCCTAGAGTTAAACAGTTGAGTTTTCCCATTTTTAAATTCATTCAGCCAATCTCTAGGTCTTGTTAGAGCCCTTTTAGCTTAGCTTAGCATAGACTATTGAATCAGATTAGACCATTAGCATCTTGCTCAAAATAAAAAAGATAATTTCCTTATTTAAAGCTTGACTATTCTGTAGTTTTATCACATACTAAACCAGACAGAAAATTAAAAGTTGCTATGTTCTAGGTCGATTTCAAGTCCTTGTCAAATAAATACATTAAAAAATGTAAATTTATTCCACTAACAAACTTAAAGGGATATTTCACTCTAAAAATGAAAATTCTGTCATTATTTACTAATCCAAACCCATTTAAGTTTCTTTCCTCTGTAAAAAAACAAACAAACAAAAAAAACTCTGAAGAATGTTAGAGGGCAGTTTAGACTATAGTGCTTTCCCCCCAACATTTTTCAGAATATCTTATTTCATGTTTAACAAATGAAATAATATCATAAAAGTTTAAAGCCACATGGGTGTGACTAAATGGTGAGTAAATGTTTTTTATTTTTGAACGAACCTTTCCTTTAACTTTACACAACTGGAAAAAGACATAAATATTTGACAGTGATATTCATCTCTCCTGTAATCTGAATGTGTGTAGAGTAATTCTCCTCACACTGCAACACAGCCCACAGAGCAGCAGGAGGCGCTCTTAACAACACAAAGCTCTCTTTACCTGTTTTCCTTCTCATCGATGTCTGAGGTGCTAACATGTCTCCTCGGTATAGTTGGTGCAACATATGCCAGGCGTGTTTTCTCCTTCTCCTGTTGTAAATAAACCAAGCTAGTATGAGATGACAAACAGCTCCAATCTTCAAAATGTTTATGAAAAGATATAAATCAAGCAATATACAATATATATAAATCAAAACAATGTAAATCAAGCAGAAAATTAATCTAAAAAATGATTTGTTAACACTTTAAAGGTGTCCTTGCCACGTTCCATGTACTTACTATAGTAATAACAAATATGCATAATAACATGCTAAACATTCTAACCCTAACCATTCAGTAACTATGTGTAGTTAATTATTAATACTCAGTAGTTAAATATTCACACTGTGACAAGAACATATTAAAATAAAGTAACCAATTATTTTGCTTCTACATATTTTTATTATTACTATTTATATTTTACACATTAAAAACACTGAATTAAAAAAAATTATAATAATAATACAATTTATTTTCTTAAAATAAAGATGTAGATTTAAACTTAAAACATTTAAAAAAGGCAATACATTAATTTTTATTTCATTTAAGTGAATATACTTTTAATTTAGTTGATTTGAAATAACCAGGGTCAGACAGAATCTGCAGTCAATTTTTTTTCTATTTCTGCGCTAAATTTTGAAAAGAATCTGTGGATTTATGCAGAGTATTTTTTTGGGGAGTATCATAACTAAAAACCTAATAAAGCATATGAAATAAAAAGAATTATATTTTAACTTTTAATCAATGTTTACGATGCAAATACAATTAGATCCTCTTATATGATAAACAAAAGAATTCTCTCATATAATACCTTTACGAAAAGACAAACAATAGTACTGTACAAACTGCACTGTAAATAAATCATATAAACATTTCCATATTAGTCAATAATATTACTGAAATTAACTTAAAAACGGAATAAATATAAATTTACACACATTTACACAAGAAATAAGAATGCATGATTGGCTAAAATCTGCAGAAACAGCCCTAGAAATAACTTATTTAGCGTTACAAAGTTCTAAAATAATCATAACTGTTATACCAAACTGTGCAATAAATGTATTTAAGTATTTATTCATTCCTTTTTTAGATTTTTAAGTGTCTTTTTTGTGATTTTAATATGTTTATATTTTTGTATATTGAAATTTTTATACATTTATGAAATTACTGAAGCTTATTTATTATATTAGGTTATTTAGTGTTTTCTGATACTTAATGTTCTTGCTGGGTGTCAATGGCCCCGTTTACACTGCCAGTTAAATGTGATCCAATTCCGATTGTTTGCTCATATGTAACACAGATCGGATCTGTTCTATGACCGTGTAAACATGCATGCATTCGGATATTTAGAGATCGGTTTTAGGCCTCCTTCATATGTGGAAATAAATCAGATATAGATCGGATATTTGACAATGCGACTGTCATGTAAACAGGCAGATCGGCTATATTGAGGCATTCCGTTCTGTACATCATTAAACTTGCGACAATGTGGTGCTTCTCCACGGTTTGACAGAAAGAAGAGCGTATGTGGAGATGGCGACGCGGTAAACAACATCAGAGGAAATGTAACGTAACTTCGCTCTGCATTACATCTACTCAGATGTTTTGAATGACAAAACAAAGTTAACTAAAAGAAGACTGAACCCAAATATATTATGTGTTTGGATGACTATGAGGGTGATGAATAAGTGGTAGGTGAATATTTATGGTAATATTTCCACTAAAGTAAAGTGCAAGAGACCTTTTCCTTGTCCTTGTTGTCCAGTGAGGATGAGAGGCGAGGGGAAGAGGCAGAGCGCATCACCCCGGCTGTGTCTTTCTCCTTCTGTGCCTCTTTGGTTGTGCTGATTTCTGCCAGAGCTCCGTAACTGCCAGTTTTGCGCAGACCCAAACGCCACGATGCAGGAGACTCATCCTTCCTGTCCTCCTCTTTAGGAGACAGCTTCCCTGCAGGTGTGCTCACCTGAGGAACACAGACACTAAACTTAGCTCATTCCGCCTATGAAGTGTCCAAATTAGGGAATGTCAACACTGCGAATTTGAAGAGTTCAGATCATATGACGAGACCACAGAAAGCACACACTGTAAATCCACATTAAGGAGTGCTCATGTGTGCTCATGGGTGAGAGATCAGGGATTTTGACAGGTTTAAGCAGGACATAAAAAATGTGGACTGCAGGGCTGGGCAACCTCTGAAGTTTTTAATGATTTGAAACATAATTCAGTATTTGTATGTACATATGCTCCAAAATGGTCTAAACTAATTATAAAAACTAAAATAAGAACATAGACAGACAGACAGACAGACAGACTAGATAGATAGATAGATAGATAGATAGATAGATAGATAGATAGATAGATAGATAGATAGATAGATAGATAGATAGATAGATAGATAGATAGATAGATAGATAGATAGATAGATAGATAGATAGATAGATAGATAGATAGATAGATAGATAGATGTGTGTACATCTATTTCTATATTTTCCCAATAATTGCCATGAATAAATATATATTTTTAAGTTCATATAAAGAGATAAAGTTTCTACAAGAAATAAAAATGGTTTACAAAATAATATTTGAATTATATAATTGAAATACAACATGAATATATTTGTCATTAATTTATAAAAAAATCTAAGAGGAATAAAATCCCAAAAATGCTATACCATTTTAAGTATGTCTGCATATTTAATAATTAAACAACAACATAACCCATGAAATAACGTAGAAAATGAAATAAAATAAATATATACAGATATTTTATAAAGAAAACTAGCGCGCATATGTACACACATAAAAATATATATTATTTCAAGCAAACATCCAGCCCTAGTGCATACAAAGTTATCAATTAAAAATATATAATTACAATAAATAATCATTACTTAATGAATAAAAATCATTAACTTAACAAAAACTAGGCCTTTAAATAACATTATATTAATAAAACCACAAACGCCAAACCAAAACATGCCCAATCAGAAACAAGATGTTAGTTTTCACCACCTCATCATCATCAGCCTCCTGGTGACCTGTTTGGGTTTAAAATCGATGAATAAATCCACTTTTATCAAACCCATTTATTCTAAACTCGCCACATGAGCAAATACTTTAGTAAATACTGTAGTGTTTTTGAACCATGTTATAGTAAAGTTTATTACACTGTATATCTTAAAGTATTCGTGACTGTAAAGGAATGCTGTAGCATACTTTAGAATGAACTGTTGTGAACTGATTAACCATAGCAAATACTGTAGTATCCTTTAGATTTTACAACTGCGGCGTGTGGTAGTATAACTTATATAGTTGTTTATGTTGCTATAGTGGTTGCATTACCACATCAACTACGGAATTACATTTGCAGATTATTTAATACTTTATTATAGTAATCATGCATCTTTACTGTAGTATCATTCAAAAACACCATGGTAATTACTATAAATGACTATAGTATTTTTCATGTGGGAAAACACATCAAATAAATCATCCTGTAACATTTAGTCCACCACATTCAGATATAACTACCACACATATAAGATCTCCAACAGAAAACACCACCCACGACATGCAGTGAGCCAGTGACAGGAAGAGGAAATTAGACAGAGCGATCTGTTTGGTTAGGGATGGTCGTGTGGGGAACATACAGCAGGGTTTGCGGGAATCACAATGCTGAACACACCGAGGCCTCACCATCGCTTTTTTGGGCACAAGTGAAATGCCAGTTTTGCGCAAGCCTTGACGCCACAACGCAGGACAGCCTGGCTCCCCCCCAGTAAAGTTATCAGACTAAAGCCATCCAAGACAACAGCAATGAGACCAGAGAGAGAAAGAAACAGATGATGGTGAAGAGAAAGGGAAAAAAAATGTAACAAAACAAAAGAAAGTGAAAACAGAGAGAGAGAGAGAAAGAAAGAAAGAAAGAAAGAAAGAAAGAAAGAAAGAAAGAAAGAAAGAAAGAAAGAAAGAAAGAAAAAGACAGAAAACCCTAAAATAAAATAAATAAATCAAGCAGCAGCAGCAGCAAAGGAAAGAAATTTGTCACGATGCACAAGTAAATAAAAAAGCTTAAATAAATCAAAGGCAAGTCAAAAGCATTTGTTGTTTTGGGACATTTTGGCATTAAGCTGACTAACTTGAGTTTGGTTTATTTTTAAAGGAGATTTTTTTAATAAACATTAATATTGAATAAAAAGTATGGAGAGTAATGTATCATGTTTGTTTAATAATGGTGAACGTAAAATAATATTTCACATTTATGAATTGGAAATGTGCCCAAGTGTAACAGCAATTTCAGCCACATTATTTATTTGTTTCTGTATGTGTGTGTGTGTGTGTGTGTGTGTGTGTGTGTGTGTGTGTGTGTGTGTGTGTGTGTGTGTTTATATTTACAGTTTAAGTCAGAATTATTAGCCCCCCTTAGATTTGTATTTTTTTTTTTAAATTATCATGTCTGATAATATTTTTTTTCTCTGGAGAAAGTCTTTTTTTTTATTTTGGCTAGAATAAAGTAGTTTTTGATTTAAAAAAAAAAAAAAAAACATTTTAGGGACAAAATGATTAGCCCCTTTAAGCTTTTTTCCCGATAGTTTTCAGAAAAAAGCATTGCCTAAATTTCCTAACCTGCCTAGTTACCCTAATTAACCTAGTTAAGCCTTTAAATGTCACTTTAAGCTTAATAGAAGTGTCTTGATAAATATCTAGTCAAATAATATTTGCTGTCATCATGGCAAATAATAAAATAAATCAGTTATTAGAAATGAGTTATTAAAAATATTATGTTTAGAAATGTTGAAAAAATCTTCTCTCCGTTAAACAGAAATTGGGGGAAAAACAGGGGGGCTAATAATTCTGACTCCAACTGTATATATAAAAATACATTTCAGTTTCAGCCATCCTAAAAATTTTTTTTTGTGTGTGATGTGATGACATAAAATAAAAAAATAAAAAATAAAGTGTCATTCTGGGTGTTAAAATGCCTTTTTAAATCTCACAAACAAAAAAACAAAGAGATTGTTTTGTGGGTAGGTAATGTAGTAATACAGTCAATCACAACATAGTTTGGCTCTCCTTGGAAACAATATATATCAAAATAAATAATAAAATTAAAACATGTTTTTATACAATCTAATCAACCAGAAAATTAAAAGCAACCATTAAGAGCAGTTGCTACTGTAAAAATTCTGTCTTTAGTGTAGTGCACTGACTGTTCATTAGAGGGCAGTGTGCACGAGGTAAAGAGCCGTGGAGGACATTTTCTCAATGCACACTACTGCCTGACTTCAGAATTCTGCAACAATTTTTTTCATAAAAATGAATCTTTTACACTCTGTGTTATGTTTACTTGATGACCCCAACAGCATTCATTCTGAAATGTTGCAGATGCAACTTTATGTATTGACACATGCAAAATACATGCTATATAAAGAGAATGAATGATATTTCCAAGGAGAAGTCTAGCTGTGTGCTGACACAAGTAGAAAGGTACACAGACAGGGTTGAGGGATGAGAGGACTAGCGGAGACAATGTACCTTTTTGGTAGGTGAGGTTGGGGTGGTCACCTGGTTGCTTGGGGTAGTAGGTGATGTGACGGTGATGCTAGAAGGTGCAGTTGTAGGTGTACTGTTGGAAACGCTTGACGGAACAGAAGACTTGGTCTTATCTGAGTAAAAAAAAGAGAAGTATTTAAGTAAATGTACTGTAGATTCATACAAATGTACAGTATAATTGTGGGACGGTTGATGTCTCAGGTACCTGCTTCGTTCTCAGACTCCGAGTCTTCTTCCTCCTCTTCCTCACTCGAGCAGCTAGACTCGTCCTTCTTTCCCTCTCCCTCCTCTTCATCCACCTTCTCTGGCTCCAGAGTCTCGATTCTTGGCGCAGTCTTCTCAGGCTCCAGTAGAAGTGTTTCTTTGCTAAAGCACACATGAAGTCCACAGGTGAGCAACACTCACTTGACTGTCCTGAACGGGACTGTACTAGCACAGAAGCTTTCAAACATATGAGAATAACATGTTTTTTTATTAGGTAAAGGTTGTTTTCAAACTCTTTGTTTACTATGTTGAAACATACAATTGGTTAAGAAAGCCGAAAAGCAAAAATTGTTTTGTACGGCAGTGAACGCAACAATTGTTCCAAATTATACATCCTCACTGCAGTTTGCGCATAATTTATGGTTGTGTTCACACTTGGCAAGTTTGATCTGATTAAAGGCCGGGACACACCAAGCTGATGGTCTGCCATTGGGCAGCGTTGAGCTGCTGGTGAGCATCTGTCAGGCTAGTTTGTTTGGTGTGTTCCACACGTCACCTCTCATCAGTTTATGTCGGAGCGAGTTGGCCAGATTCAGCATGTAGAAACAGAATGCTCTGACTGGCTATTCAAATCAGAGCACAAATTAGAGTGTGAGAACAAAAACTGTATTCAGAGGCAGATATAGAAAACGATAAATACATTTGAATACAGACTTAAAAATTAGGAACTTCATAAAAACATCTAAATCTTGCTTTTGCCAAGAACATTTACCATCAGCAAATCTAAAGTCAGTCTTTTCTCAATGAAAAACTCACATGTTGTGATAACTTTCATTCATCATCATTCAATTATTCATCTATAAAAAGATTCTAAGATGTGAACAGGTATGGTTTCTGCTGAACATTAGCCTGGAAAGGCATGGCGCTATTACAAGCCAAGGAATTCTAGACAACTGCACTGACCATTCTTAATTGGTAGAGTGCGTCTGCATGCAGGTGATGTGGTGTACTAGTTATTTATTAAAAATAATTCACTCAGCAAAGTAAATATATGAAAAACATGAATCCCCAAAACAGAAATACCCGATTATCATCCAGAACACTTAGCTATCAAGGCAATGAATGATCCATTTGTATTGCATTCCACAGGGCTCAACGAATGAATGAAACCACGTCACAAAATGGAAAGATTAAGCAGAGAGAACCATTCAGTTGGGTATTGGAAAAGCAGCTCTTAAGGTAAACATAACCCCATCCATTTTCTTTGCGTGCGTGCCTTGGACATTTACGACAAGGTCAAGACATTGGCTAAACAGTATATCAATCTCATATTGATGATCTCCCTCTAACAAGCAGGAGCCATTTACCTCTTCAGTGGTTTCACAGATTGATTATTGTCCCCAGTAGTCGTAGTTTCTATTAAAGGAGACTTCTTAACATCCTTCTTTTCGCTAAGAAGCTGAAACAAACACAGAGCGTGTTCAAGTAAACAGAACCAAGGCGAATTATGAAGATGTGAAACCAGAAGTGAGAATTTACCAGATTCTGTTTCTTTTGCAGCTCTTCTAAATATCCCAAAATATCTTCATCAGCTACGTCAAATGCCGTCTGACCCTGAGAATCAAAATGCAACACTGATCAGGAGTCAGTTCAACTTGGACACATTCGTAGAAGACTGTATAAATGAATAAAAGCCATACCACTTTATTGACGACGTCCATATCACACAAATGCTCTACTAGTATCCGGCAGGCCTCCTCTTTGCCCCAGTGTGCAGCAGCGTGGAGCGGAGTCCAGCCATCGTAGTCTTTAATATTTACATCATACCCTGCTTGGATTAAAAGCCTGCAAATGGTAAGAGTGACAGAAATAGCATGATGAGATTAAACAAATCTGGGTTTCTTGGATTTTGGTGCCGCAATCTAAGCTTGGCCTCATTCGCCAAAAGCCTGGGATATTATGTAGACCAAAAGGCTCAATTTTTCACTGCCTAGAAGGCGCGTCGTGCATGCCAACAGGCCAGCATCACACACAAAAATACGAATTAGATGTGAAGTTTTCCAAGACTCTGCAAGCAGTCGCGTACAATCCTCTTGTTTTGGAGTGGCGACAGATGGAGCAGTTGTCAAAGTCATTCAACTCTGACATCCAAAGACCGAGAGCAGTGTAAACACAGACACTGCCACGCATTCTGAGCAGTTCAATGGCTCATGATAATCTACTGTAATAGACATAGATTAACAGGTTACATACTGTCTAGATACCGAAAGAGTTGAAAGGTGAAATGGGGGGTAGACCAAATATAGCAATAACCTGCATTTTCATTTGCTTCTATCTTCAGCACACTTTTTGGCCGAAGAATAAAAGACAAAAATTATCACAGGTGTTTCCTGAACCCTTTGTGGATGGCAAAATGTTAAGGGCACTTACTTTAAAACCTCAGCGTATCCCTTGGCCGCAGCAACATGGAGTGCGGTACCCCCAGACTTGGTGTGCCGGACGTCGTTGATCTGGCCACTGTTAAGCCACTGTCGTGCATCCCTTAGCATGATACGCTCCTCCTCCTTCCTGGCTGCTTCGATATCCACGCCTAGGGGAAGATAAAGGGAGGGGCAGATCATTAGGATTAGGGTGTGTAGTTAACCTGCAAAAACTGCAGGACATACAAAAAAAGTATATTATGTAAAGTAAAATGTTTGATTGATTTCTGATGTGGCATCCTGAAAGAGCTCATTTCCATGTTTAAGTCCTGTTATCGAACATGTTACCAGGTGTCACTGTGTTGGCTATTGTGAATAGGCATGGGCCGGTATAAGATTCTGACGGTATGATAATCTTGGATAAAAATATCACGGTATCACGGTATTGTGATTACTGCTCTAAAATATTTTTATTTTAAATGTCTGGGTAAAGAAACAAAAACTTTTTTTCCCATTTGAAAACAGTATTTTTCAAATGATTACAGTAATTATTCCAATAAATAATTTTTTTCTGCTGGAGATACTGTGGCCCTAAAAAAAAAAAAAAAAGTAAATAAAAAATATTACTCATACAACATTTTGGCGGTTTTAAAATCTTGGCTTCTCCAAACCTTTTTAAAAAAGGTTATTGTCCCATGCCTAATTGTGAAACAGGATAAAGATTTTTAGGAATTACATTTTTAGTTTCATATAACAGTGCCAAATGTTACATTTGGTATCAAATCTGATAAATCTGATTCTGACTGATTAGTAATTTCCCAAATAAGAAACTATAAAATAAACTAGTACAACATAATAAAAGAGCTTTTACTGACTATTTTGACATACGAGTCAAAGACGAGATGTTCAATTTGTGTCCATGTCTAATGTAACGTACTATATAATTTTATGTAGACAGAAAGCCAGTTAAATGCTGTTTAACGTAGTGTGTAAGATTAAAAATTAACATTGCATCCCATTACAAAAATGACTTATTATAAAGTAACATTACATCCTGCTGTTATTTGCATAACTTTACAAAAAACATAATTTAATTGCATCATCAAATAGAAGAAATACTTGGACAAGGGGAAAACACTACATTTGAATTATTTAGCGACTGGGGCTGCAGGATATTGGGAAGAAAAAAAAAAATCAGACATTGCGATTTTTTATTTCTGTGATTTACAGTTGAAGTCAGAATTATTAGCCCCCCGTTATTTTTTTTCCCCCAATTTCTGTTTAATGGAGGGAAGATTTTTTTCAACACATTTCTAAACATAATAGTTTTAATAACTCATTTCTAATAACTGATTTATTTTACCTTTGCCATGATAACAGTAAATAATAAACACACTTCCCTACACCTTAAAGTGACATTTAAAGGCTTAACTAGGTTAAATAGGTTAACTAGGCAGGTTAGGGTAATTAGGCGAGTTAGTGTATAATGATGGTTTATTCTGTAGACAAAAAATAAAAAAATATAGCGTAAAGAGGCTAATAATTTTGACCTTAAAATGGTGTTTAAAAAATTAAAAACTGCTTTCATTCTAGCCGAAATAAAACAAATAAAACTTTCTCCAGAAGAAAAAATATTATCAGACATACTGTATATATTTAAAAGACTTACATTGTGGGATACAACATCTACAATTTCACCATACGATTGAATTGCACTATTTGAAAAGAATTTATAGTCACGCTTTATTTTAACGTTCACTTCTCGCAATTAGCAAACCATTAACTATGACTTTTGCTTCAGTAAACTACTTCCTAATTTGCTCCTTATTAATAGATATTTAGATATTGGGTTAGATATATAGAATAAGATCATGTCAAATTACACCGCAAAGTCTTTATTGTAAAAATTAAGCAATATGCAATGTATAATGCAATTAAACTTCCAAATGGCAGAGAGTCTTGTGCCTGTATACTTTAATCTCTCTGAGGCCTTAAAAATGTGGTTTAACTCCACAAATCTTGTGTTCTGAACTGTGACATTTGCTCAAATATAATCCTAACTCAAAATTACATATCTACACGATTTGACTATTGCAGATGCATTGCCTACATTGCAATATCAATGCTGAAACGATATATTGTGCAGCCCTAAAAGCGACAAAAATTAGGTATTAATGCTAAATTAATCAACTAAAAGTTTAGAAAAAGCTTACAAACACAATTTAGAAAATCTACATGCATGTTTAAATCTCAATTTTATATCATTTTAAATATCACTTATCCACTGCTATAGACATTAAACAACATATTGTGATATTTCTGTTAAACATATTTAAACACAAGAATATTTATGCATACTTATTCTTGTTCTTTAAACAGAACATGTAAACCAGTCCATATTGGAAGACTGCCAAATGGGTCACTGTGCCTGTGGTTTATATACCCTGACATATACTCAGGCATGTAGAGACCTGACAGCATTACCTAAAACAGGAAAACAACAATAGAACCTTGGGACTATGCACCTTTTGAAGCGACCGACCTATTATCATGCCACAAACTGCTTGGCAACATATTCACAGAGTGTCAAACCAAAACAAAGTCAATGTTTTATACACAGATAAATATAAAGACTGCTGCGTGACCTTTCATTTTTTGTCAGAATAGGTCAGAAAAGAAGTCATCTCGCATTACAAATGAACAGCTAATAGGAGCATGCCATGTGCCTTATATGGCTGTAAGTCCAACTGAATGGCTGGCAGGTGCAGCTGTCGGGGGAAGTGAACTGTGATGTGATTAAGGTGACAGATTTTGATCAGTTTAGCTAAAGAGACGGCGCCTATATTTGACAAGCGTGCTGGAATCAAGCCAGCGGCATGGGACGTGGGATAGAAATATGTTGGAATTTGTATACATATTTCATGACAGAGGAAAAAAGGAAGATATTTTGAAGAATGTTGATAAGCTGTAGCCACTTATTTTAATAGTTTTTTAAACTATGGAAGGTAATGGGTATTAGGACTGCACGATATTGGAAAAATCGAGCATTGTGATATTTTTTAATTTTGCGATTAAGTATTGCGATATGAATACAATTTCACCAGATAACTTGAATATCTCTATTTGGAAATAATTTATAATGTTAGATTGATTGGGATGATATTGCAGTGGGAGTGCATCTCCATAAACAATCGATAAACTTTTTCGACATGGTTGTGGTCTGATCTTTTTGCAGTGCATTTCTGTATTTGCATGTGGTGTGAGTATTTTCATGCATAACAATCTATAAATACAATCAAGATACAATTGAAAAGGTGTTTTATTGTTTTCCGAGTCTAACAGCATTCAAGTTCAGTAACTGAATGATAAAAATAAAAATAATTCAATGCCTGAACACTTTTAAGCATCAAAACCATGTGCCAATGATCAATTATAATACAGACTCAACATTGCATATGCTTGCAATGTGACAATGTGTGAAAGGATCGCATTGCGAAATCGATGCTGAAACAAAATACTGTGCAGCCCTTATAGGTGCGTCCCAAATCGCATACTGTTCTACAAGTAGTATTTAGAGTAGCATCATTTATCTGTGATATAAACAGTGCATTCACATAAAAAAATTCAATTGTACAAAGAATAATCAAACCTATTAGAGTTGGGCAATGTCGACCAATCTGGCATCGTACGATGTCTAATGTGAAACATCACGATGAACGATGGCATCATCATCATGTGAAAAGTGGGGTGGGGGTTTGACAGAGTGCGCGCGACGTGTCTGAAAAGCGAAGAGGAATTCGGGGGTGAGAAGGGTGCACGACTTATTTGAGGATCGGGAGGGAGAGATCATCACTCATTTGCGGGCATTGAGTCTCGCAAATGCAAAGAGACTCCCGGAACCTCCTAGAGGCTTGAGATGTCAGAATATTACGTTTGACAACTATACTGAGATGCGATACATCCTTGATAAACTGTCCAACGTGCACTGCTCTCTGGAGCTCAGAGGAGCGCATGACAGTGTGTGGCTGTGTCTGTGTGTGGTCACGTGATGTGCATTTTCAGCGGACAGAGGGCTGTTCAGAAATGTTAGGTAAAACACGGTGTGAATGTGGATCATTTTCATTCTAAAATGCAATTTTAACACTAAGACGTATTAGTGTAAACAGGGCCTAAGTGTGTATTTTTCGCGAGCTGTTTGCGACGGGGGCGAGGCAGAGGATCGGCCATCGCCAATAGATGAAGGCATCATCTATCGGCCCAACACTAACACCTAATGAACCATTAAAAATAAGTGTGGATGTTATCACGTAGCGGAATGGGCGGAGCTGGCAAAATTCTCTCACATAAGTGATTATGCCACCTTCACATGGTAAATGCAGTTGTACTCATGATAGGTGTAATTTGGTAATTTATTTCAATATAGGTATTATTTGGTAGTTTGGTAATTTATTTCACTAATTTGGCAACCGTTAAACATTGCCAGGGAAAAAATTTAAACTTCTATTTGTTAAAAAAAAAAGTGTTCAATTTGGGATGACACTAAACTCAAACTCCATGGTTGAGTGTTCAAGTGTGTAGCATGTCATTTAGGGCGCAACTAATAAACACTAGATTCTAACATTCTTCAAAACATCTTTTGTGTTCAATAAAATATAAAAGTCTAGAATTACTTGAATTATTTGTATAAGGTTTTCTTTTTTTTGTTGAACTATCTCTTTAAGAACATGGCTTTATCAAGTGGAGCCTGAATGTCATAACCTTTTCTGGTGTAATGGGGTGATGTCTAGACAGTCATTTTTTCAAAACTTATTGTCTTTGCTGCCAAGGTAAGAGGTTAATAATAGGGTTACAGATGAAAATACAGTTCCCCTTAGAATCAACCCTCAAAGTTCATAATTATACAAGCATGAATGCACTAATAATAAAATGGTTGACACACATAAGCTTATAATTACATTAAAAGACAACAATATACTTCAAACATTTGTCATTATTTGTTTGAGGGCAAAAACAAGTTTGTAAAGGCTGAGCATAGCGGTATACTAATTTCAAACGTTCAGACACGCTGGCACTGCAGCAGGCTGGGTCGTAAATGTATCTCACCGCTCGCTCTCAACACAACAAGGATGGCTAAGAGACAACAAATTAAGGTTTATGCGTGTGGTCCAGT